CGCCCGGCCCCACTTTCTTTCAACGCCCACCTGCAAATAAAAGTGATGTTTGCGGATCGTCCTCCACCTCCCCGGCTGAGTCTGTGCCCTGGGAGCTTTTGGGGATGGGGGTCGCGCGCTTCCTCGGTGCCCCCCGGGAGGCGGGGGCGGGTCAGGCACTCTGGGCGGGGCCTCGGCCGGACTCCGCCCACCAGCCCCTTGGTGGGCTGGAGCCGAAGCCCAATAGAAGTTCGGGGATGGCTCTGTGAATGAGCGTCTAGGCCATCCCATCTCCACCGCCACATCTCGGGTTCGTGAACCAGCTGTTTTACCCCCAAGGGCTAGAGGGAATGTGTGACACACCCGCGGCCCGTTCTGCCGGCGTCTTGCGCTTCAGAGCAAAATCCCAGCCTCGCAGAATTCCTGCGAGCCCTGCAGACACCCGCAGACCTGCCCGCGCGCCAGGGCTCGCCTCCCACACCCTCGCACGTTCGGTTCTAGCCGCACAGCTGCTTTCCACCTTCCTGCAAGCACTTTGTCATCTCAGGGCCTGCTGTGTCCTCATCGAGGGTGCCTTTCCCCAGGTCTCCTCAGACTGCAGGACTGTTAAGTGTCAGCTGCTCGGAGGCCGGCCTGTAGGACCCAGTTTCAAACGGCACCTTGCCCCCGGCTGCTGCCACTTACTCAGCACCTGTCGATTAAACAAGCATTTGCTGAGTGTCTGCTGTGTACCAGGCACTATTGTAGGCCGCGGATTTTAAGCAGCACGGTCAGGAAGGATCTCACTGAGGAAGTGGTGCCTGAGCAGGAAGGGGAGGGGTAGGTGAGGGAGTTGGGATCTCTGGGAAGGAGCACGCTGCGGAGGGGACGGCGCGTGGACTGGCTGTTCATGGGACTGAGTCTGCCGTGTTTGAGGATCATCTGGAGAGGCCAGTGTGGTGGAGCAGAGGGAGGTGAAGAGGGACAGGAAATAATAATCAGCATTACTGGGGGCCCCACTCAAATGGCCCTTGTCTAGTCTGTTCTGAGAACAGGATCTGTACACAGCAAACACTCAGTAAGCTATTACTATGAGTCGTTATTATTTCCAATCCATCTGTGAAGGAAACAGGTTTGTGAATCACTTAAAACAGGGGCTTATAATCCATTAAGTACTTAGTAGATGGTTTGTATCATTTATTATTATTACTACTGTTATTATTATTCCCAGGCTACAGATGAACACTAGAGTGTGTATTTCTCTTAGAACAGAGAGTTTTATGCGTTACATATTCAATAAATGCTATTTTTATTATTCTCATTACTGTTCTTGTTATTCCCAATCTAGAGATGAGGAAGACTGAGGCAGTGAAAGTATACAGCAAGCCCATCATAAGTATTGGGTCTCATTATTGTTTCTTTTCATTATCCCAAGTCCACAGACAAGGCCCAGGAAGCTTTAATCCCTGTACCATGCGCACACCAGGTCTAGCTGACCCCATAGCCTGGGTTCTGATCCCCTGCCGCACTGACACTGCCTGCGTGCCTTAGACCAGCCTCAAGGGATCTTTAGGGAATTTAAATGTCTTCTCTATGTCGCACAAATGGGGACAGCCTGGATATTCCATCGACATCACTTTCCTCCTAAGATTCAAATCCTGGCTTCCTTGCTTCCTGAGTGACCTCAGGCAAATTGTTTAATGTGTCCAAAAGTCAGTTACCAAATTTGCAAAATGGTGACACCAACTGCACAGGACTTACTATAAACCTGGCCAATTCTCATTCCTTCCAAAACCTCCTCCTAACCCTTAGCTAAACTAAATTGCCCCTCATGTGAATTTGGTGCAATACATAAGGAAATGGTTGATGCGTGTCTCTCCCAGACTGAACTCTCTAAAAGTGGAGACTGACCCAACCTGCCTTGTCTCCCTGGGTTCTAGAAAAATGCCTGAAAACAAACACTTTCAGTTATTACCTGTGTAATTCTGCACGTGTGTGTGAAATGGCACTGAAATTCCTTGGATCTGAAGGCTACTGATGATTAATTGTTAATTGTTTCCCTGTGCTGTTAGTTCTTAACCATTTTCCTTCTCCCATCTAAAATAAATACTGTTTTTTTCCATTTTCCTGGAGTTCCCCAGAAGCTTACACTTTGGTTGGTGGTTGCTTTACTCTCATGCATTTTGCTTTCCCATCTGTTTTTGTTAAGGGCAGCTGTCAAATACACCATTAGCAAGAGGCTCTAAAGTTGCAGGCTACAAAATCACCAGACTTCCAGACTGCATTTTATACAACTGTCATGCCAAGAAGAATGCTGAATCCGTGTACCTGCATCCACTCTTTAATGTCCTTCATTATGGAGCCTTTGGACTTGGCCTCATAGAAATCCGACCGTGATCCAACATGGGGCTTTGGTGGGAAGTTGCAGGCCAAGGGCTGGAATCACCTCTCAGGGCTTAGAATGTCACAGAAGTTCCTAAATGTCATGACCTGGCCCACCTTCCTTCCCTGTCTCATCTGTCTCTGCCTCATCCCACTTCCCCTCCGAGGTCTAGTAACACCACACTGAAAGTTTTACAAGTATCTGCAAGCCTTTTGAAGTGAATGAATGGTGTTTGGTAAAAAGGATAAGTGGGCTTTGAATTATTTCTGGAGCCAAATGTCAGATTTTGTAAAGACCAGATTTATAAGATAAGTATAGTTGTCTGTAATTCCTCAGAGACTCAGGGCCCATCTGAATATTATGGCAGTAGGCCCACTCATCCTATTACACTGTCCTCATTTTGCTTCTTTGTATCGGGAAAGATTTTCACCAAAGGTAGAAATCGAAAGATTCCTGTGTTCTAAATTTAGAGCTGTGTGTCTTTGGAATGTTCTAGTAAATCCTTCCACAAAGGCTTCAGAATGTTTTCCCCACTCTGGGTACATAGTTTCATTTTAGTTTAAAGGAGAAAGCCTAAAAAAAAAGTTCCTATTGGGCTCTGAATATCAGCGTCCAGTTTGGCCAACTTCTGACCATAGAGCTACTTTTAAAAGAAACCTTTCAAGTATCCTGTCAGGTTTCAGCTGGGACAAACAGTAAATATTCCTAAATATTCCTGACAGTATTGAGTAACTCCTTGCAGGTGTAGGGGTGGAAAAATTTCCACCTTCTTCCCTTCTAAGTTCTTTGGCTGGTCCTGTAATTAAATTGATATGAGAGATTGACAGGAGAAACAAACAAAATTTACAGAGCCCCACTAAAGATACGAAGGCTCCGAAGACAGCCAGGTAGTAACATCCTATATAGCACCTGGGTTAAGGAAAAGGGTAGGGGTCTGAAGATACTGAGGGGGGAAGAGTCATTCACAGGAAGGTAGAGGAGATGTTCAGAAAACAAAGGTTGCCTTGTTATGCAGGTGAATTTCTTAGGTAACATGGTACCTCTGATAATAGGTCTCTTCGTGGTTGAGGCCCTTCTTTCCAATGTAAATGAGAGAGAAGCTCGGAAAGAGCTTTTCCTGAATCTGCTGGGTTCCTGGATCGCCTTTAGCTCAAAATAATCCTCATGTGCAAGTGGCATCTCATACATGGATGAGGTTATTGCTTAGGAAGTTTAGGGAGAAACTAGTTTTCTTACTTCTGGTTGGAAAAAAACCCAATTCTTCCCCACTGTGTGTTTCTCTCCTGTGAGTCTCTAAAGAACACTTCTAAAACTTCCAGTCACCAAATGTGTGGAGGTGTTTTTCTACACCAAGCAATTCTCTGAGACAGCAGCTGGGTGTCCTACAATTTATAGCTGACACTCTGCCGAAGGAGAGGGCATCAGATGCCCCAGATTAAGGGCTCAGTCCCACAAGACTGCTCCCTACTCTGCATCCCACAAACACACTTCAGCTGCCCCTGGCAGCTAGGTTACCGCCCGTGCTTCTGACTGAGTGGCTGTGGATTGGCAGTTCCAACAACCCACTCCTTGTGTTTGATGAGATTAACCTGCTAGAGCAGCTCGTACACTCAGGGAAACATGTGCTTACATTTACCAGCTTATTAAAGGATATGATAAAGAATATAGATGAACAGCCAGCTAAAGAGATACACAGAGCAGGGTCTGGGAGGGACCCAAGTGTGGGATTTTCTGTCCCCGTACAATTGGGGTGCAGTGTAGATGGTCCACCCACCTGGAAACTTGCCGAAGCCCCTACTGCTGGGATTCTGTGGACA